GCAAACGGTTGTATTGCACATGTCCTCCATTTGCAAACAGCCAATCAACAGGCTTGGTTTACACTTCAGATATAAGAATACATCTTCGACAACGTACCCATTCTGTTAATAATACAATGGAATTAAAAACCAATGTCTACTTCAAAGAATGTCATGTTGGCGGATTCCCGTTTACGAGCGTTTAATGTGCCAAATACAGGCAGTTTTACTCCTGTGTTATTTAGCAGTTCTGCGGGTGGTTTGTACTTCCTACCTACCTTATAACCCCTTTATAATGTGGCTGCACTCCGAGTTATGCATAGATGGCCGCCACTTATTGGTTTTTCGCGCTCGAAGACACTTTGTACCTGTTGAAATCTCGACGGACTATGTGACCCGACTAGGTTGTAGTCCCCTCACGAAGTATGCTAATTTGCAAAGGAGGTCAGCTTATCATGGTGACTGGGGCAGGCTTCGTAATTTAAACTGCGGTAAAAAAAGCCAACCAATATTCTAAATCCTGATTTGCTTTTGCAATCTCCTAAGCTAGATGACGTTCTTCCTCCTGCTATCCTTTTTGCCGCAGTGTGTACTGATCCAGCTGGTCAGATGCGCAGAATGCTGTATTACACATGACCTCCGTTTGCAAACAGCCCATCTTCATATTTGATTTACACTCAGATATAAGAGCTGATCTTCGACAAATGATGTCCGGATCGCCTAATCGTCTGTTAGAAATGCTAAAATACCCTGCATTCATGCCAAGTGATGTTTGTTGTCAATTCTCACAATCGGTTAGATGAGCATAACCGAGCTAATATTGTTTTTTTTTTCCAGCCTGTGGGCAGACCCTCATGGAGTACTCGGGCACATTTAAGTCTCCACAATCGGAGTCCCTGCGTCCAAGCGTGAACTCCAATACCAATACTACTGCTTCTTCCTCAGGTGCACTCGTCTGCCAGTGGAGAATCATTGGAAAGAGGGGAGAGCAAATCCGCCTAAATTTCACGCACATGGGCATGTCTCCGAGCACAAATCGGTCCAACGATGATCCACAGATGGCGACTACTTCTTTTAACAACTCTCAACACTGCGTAGAGGAGTATGTCGAAGTCAGGGATGAATATTATTCTGGATCGCCTCTGATTGGTATGCGAAATGACTGATGAGACCTTGTGACCTTACTTCGCGTGATTTTCTAGGATGTTCCAAATCGGTCTGTCCTTTCTTCCAAGGTGACATTACATTAGTAGTTTGACTGATGGGACCTCTAAACTATAAGTTCAAAATTTTTAGGAATCCAGTTAGGATTTCGCTGTAGGCAAGCCTTGCTAAGTTCTGAAAGTATGCGTTCCAGTTCTTCTTGCAGCTTATTCTTGAGATGAACGATAGCTCAATAACGGACTGTGGATTGCGTTTATTAATGTATTACCTGAATTCTGAGTATGACTTTTTTGACAACAGGACGGACAAATCACTTTAGTTTGGCGCATATAAGATGAATAGTAACCTTTGGCCCAGGCAGGAAGGTACTGAACTCTCCTTATCCAACAGCAGAATGTGCGCTAAACCTTTTTAAAACAGGATTAACCTGCCTATATTGATTATTAGGAAAAACTCAATAAAAGTCAAATTAATATGTCCCCGTATCCACCGTGTTGAAGATTTTCGGTGACGTAAGTATTTAACCTGCCCGAAAAAGCATTCTTAATTTTGAGTGATATTTTGCAAAATGGACGGTAACAGAGCGATCTCCAAAACCGTCTTCGCATCCCATAGTTCGGCCCCCACTTCCCCGTGTAGTCCACAAAGTCCTGTTTCAGGAAGCATGTATGACAATTCTGCTTATGGTGTGCTCAGGACTGTAGAGGGAACTGATACAAATCTCGGAAAATATCAAGGTCAAGATTGGAATGGTCGCTGGCCACGGACTTGTTGTGGTCGATAGTCATGCCCAAATTTCACCCCAAAAACCAGTAGCTGTAGTGCATGCTTTTTGAGTGTTATGCCAACCGTTCCAGCATTAAGCCGTTTTCTCGGGTGTCCACGAATACAACTGTCAGTTCGACCGTGTGCGGAGAGGGACGGCGACTTGCGCCTAAATTAATTTACGGTGATAGAAGACATGTCCAGCATTTACCACACACTCATCTCCTCCCCGCCTGGGCTCGGCGTCATGACCAAGTCAAGAGGATCGAGGACGAGAGAGGCTGCAGGTGGCTGGCACGGCGAAAACCTGCACCTAGGCGTACCATCACACCCCTGAATTTCATAAACAACAAAATGAGAGCAGCAATAATCACAGTTGGCTCAGCGTAAGTCTGCAACTGGGCCTCCGAGCACAGCGCAAAGGTTGACATTTGTTATGGGGCGTACAGTAAGTGGGCTAACACATGAAATGTCAACCGAAGTTCAGAAATGCGCTTACCGTTTCGAAAAGATTAATTCAGCAGGGTTGTAAAACCAATCATCGTGCAGCATAATTCTGTAATAAATCAGTTACCCCAGGACGTCGGTCTTTGAACAAACTTCTTTCCGGCTGCATCCAAAAATGTGCTCCGTAAAAAAGAATGCTTATGAAGCATGCATTTCTTCATTCATTTTCGATTTCCTTAAAGATTTAATTATATTTCATGGAAAACATGTATAAAAAATATTCATTCTTTTGTTCATTCAGTAGAAAATTACGTCTTCTTTCAATTTTATCCTCGAAGGAAGGGTATAATTTGGTTTTCGAAAACCTTTCCAATTCCCGAATACTTTTTAGCCCGACCTGCCGTTACACTTGCATTCAGCGTTTCCAAATTACAAACTGTATAGTTTCAGGTGCGGAAAACTATAATTTCTCTACAATATTAAAAGAAGACGATAGAGGGTTCATAAAATTAAACAGTGGATTTGAGCCACATTGTTAACTTTACAAGCCACATTGGTAAATGCACGCTTTATGAACGGCCATGTCACGGTATCAGATATTCTCATAATTAGAAACTTTTTGAAAACCTATTTATACCCTTCCTTCGAGCATAAAATTGAAAGAAGACGTAATTTTGTACTGAGTGAGCAAAAGAATGAATATTTTTATACATGTTTTCCCTGAAACATAATTAAATCTTTAAGGAAATCGAAGATGAATGAAAAAATGCATGCTATATAAGCATTCTTTTTCACGGAGTATATTTTTTGGATGCAGCCGGAAAGAAGTTTGTTCAAAAGCCGGCGTCCTGGGGTAACTGAGTTATTACAGAATTATGCTGCACGATGATTGGTTTTACAACCCTACTTAATTAATCTTTTTGAAAGGGTAAACGCATTTCGAAATTTCGGTTGACATTTCGTGCGTTAGCCCATCTACTGTATTCCCGATAACGCCTGCGGGAATCTGATGTACCCAGCGTCGGTTTATCACGTCTTCCGCGTGGCCCATTTTAGGGGCTTACAGGTACAATCAGTAATATCCAAAGCCACTTGGAAGGTCCACCACTACTCTAACCTACATTAAATTGACGATGTACGTAATTCCATTTCGCAGTGCAAATGCAACGAAGGGTACGCAAGTTCAATAAGTGTACTTGGAGACTGGATTAACCATCCCTCTTTGTTCTCTCTGCACTTACGCTTCATGATTTAGTCCAGGATTCGAAGGATAAGATTGACGCCGGTAATAAAATGGTGAAAGCCAACAATGCAGTTTTCCAAGTCCTTATTGGTAACGCAAATCGATTGCTTATCGCGCATCATTATGACAACGATTGTATGGGCTACAGAACAAAACTTTCAGGTAGAACACAATCGTCATATTTTGTACTACAATACCGAGAGTTAAGTGAACACCATCGGAGTGAGACCTACAAAGTCCCCTGTGATATAAATACAGACTGATTTCAGGGTTGGCCTAAAAAGCTCTATTCTGAACGATTTACTCCCAATAGGCGCATTGACTTCCTATAAAAGTGCAATGGACAGCGTAGGGACTGGAGTTCATGTACCAGAAGGCACACGGGGAACGCTGAGGAACTCACTGAATAGTCAAACCCTCACAGTTGCGTGAGATTGGCCGGTACTTGGGTCATCAATATGGTAAACCATCCAGTAATGGTAGACCGATATTTCGACCGTCGACTTCGACGATGTCCACCGTGTGCCCCACAACAGGTGGGGGCAAGGACGGTGACTTGCGCAGGAGTTTATGGTGCCAGTAGACGTGCGCTGCATCCACCTACACTCCTCCTCCCCCGCCTGAGCCCGGTGTCAAGACAGAGTCAAGAAGACCGGAGACGAGGGAGGCCGCAGGTGGATGGCTCGGACGGATCCTCACCTTGGCGTTCCACCACACCCCCTGGCCCACACAACAAATGACCAGGATTTCAACCAACACAAGTGAGATTTGGAGGCTGGCACGGCCGAAGCCGCACCTGGGCGTGCCGCCAACGCCTGGCTCGGATCCCACACTGTGGTAGGAGTGCCATAAAGGCCACATTAAGAAGGAGCCATTGCAGCCTGACTCTCAGACCGCCTCCCGTAAAGGAGGAGGTCCAAGTTATCCCGTCAGTTGGCAACCTTCCAAGCCACGGCTTTTAGCGCACCGTGATAGCTTCAAGCGCGTCAGATGGTTTATAGTGAGGAGAAAGTGCGCTGAGTCGTCGACCTCACTCTCGCTTCCCATTCCCACGCCCCAGCCGCTGTCCGAGTCGGTCAGCAAACTGGAGTGGGGAATGGGCGCGGTGGCTGGCACGATCGACTGACCATGCCTGCGTGCGCCACTTGCACGACCTGACCCCCCATACACACACACACACACACACACACCAGGATTTCACACAACGGGGGTTGAACGGCGTGTCTCTCACTTGCGTGAGAGGGTCGTGGAAGGTGCTGCTTCAGCCCGTCGCCCAACCCACCATTCCGCCACTCCACACAACACACACACACACAACGCGACGAACTGCGTGGACCGAGTGGGAGCGTCAATCAGCAACCTTCCTATCCACGACGCTTGACGTGTCGGGATAGTCTCAGACTCAAGTCACCCGTACAGCCGGAGCCGCAAGGGGACCGAGTCGAGATGCACACTTCCCACTTGCGCGCAAGATGGCAGATGGGTGCTGGCGGTGGGTGAGTGTTGATGTGTGGTGGTGGTGGTGGTGGTGTTGAAGGAGGAGGAGGAGGAGGAGGAGGAGGAGGAGGAGGAGGCAGGGTGGGAGGTTATTGTGGTGTGGTGTCGCCGGCGGTTGTCTACCGCAGGTCGTCGTGGATGCGCATGTGGCCGAATAGGCCCATGCGATGCCTGAAAGTGCGAGGACAATGTGGACAGTTGAGTCGAGCGTGGTGGGTATAGGCACTGGTTCGCCAGTCTCTGTGCGATGGAATCCCAAGTGACCGACCAGGCCGATGCGTGAGGTGAACGTGCGCGGACAGTGTGGGCAGGTGAAGTCGGTGGTGTCGGTTTCAGATGCGGGAAGGGCGGTGGGCGCGCAGGGTGATGAAGTAGGAGTGGTGTTTGGCATGATGGATGAGTCGGGACTGCGGTCAGTTCCACTCTCGTGGATGCGCATGTGGCCGAAATGACCCATGCGATGAGTGAATGTGCGAGGGCAGTGTGGGCAGTGTAGGCGGGTGCGGTGGGTGTAGGTTGGTGCTCCAGGCACTGTTTCGCCAGTCTCTGTGCGATGGATTCGCAAGTAACCGACCAGGCTTGTGTGTGAGGTGAAGGTGCGGTCGCAGTGAGGGCAGGTGTAGTCCTGATCCTCATCGCTGGAGTCGGAGGTGGTGGGGGTGGTGTCGGTTGTTGTGTCAGAGTGGTTGATGTGCGTGACGGCTGGCGTTGGGGCAGCGGAGGAGGAGGAGGAGGAGAATGGAAGTGGTGGTTCAGAAGAGTGGTTAGGGTTAGTTGGCGGCGGAGAGGATGTGGAAGAGGCGGGCGGAGGTACGACGGTTGGTGCGGTCCCAGAGGTGCAGTTGATCCGGAGGTGTCCAATAAGTCCATTTTGCGCCCGGAATGTCCGTTGACACCGAGGACACGTTGGAACCAGTTGTGCGTCGGCGTTGCCTACTAGGCACGTCTGTGATTTGCGGGCTTCTCGTTTCGCTTTGGCGACGGCGATGCGGTTGGCTTCATGGATCGCAGCGCCTGTCTTCACTGTCCTCCTCCAGGTCGGTCGGTCGAGGACCAGCTCTTCCCAGTTGGTCGGGTTAATTTGCAGACATTTCAGGATGGATGTCAGGGTATCCTTGTATCGACGAATTTGGCCTCCTTGACGGCGAGAACCTGCCACGACGTCTCCGTAAAAGAGTCGTTTGGGTAGTCGCTCGTCGTCCATGCGCACCAGGTGGCCGCTCCAACGCAGCTGCACTTGTCTCAGCATGGTGTAGATGCTGAGGATTCCCGTCCGTTCCAGCACATCAGTGTCGAGGGATTCGATCCTGCCAGTTCAGTCTCAGGATGCGGCGGAGACAACTAAGGTGGAAGTGGTTCATTCGGCGTGCATGCTTTGTGTACACTGTCCAAGTCTCCGCTCCGTACAGCAGCGTCGGCAGGATGACGGCCTTGTACATCTTCAGCTTCGTGCTCAGTTGGAGACCGTGGCGATTCCAAACTGTGTTTTGGAGGCGACCGAAGGCTTGACTGGCGTTCGAGATCCTGTGAGCGACTTCGTCATCGATTTTGGTGTTACGGGAGAGGGTGCTGCCCAGGTACGGGAAGTTCTCCACCACTTTCAGTTGGGTTCTGTTCACACTGATTTGTGGCGCGTTGGGAGGAGTGGCTGTGTTGGGTGGCGGTTGATGCATGACCACCGTCTTCTGCGTGTTGATGATCAGACCGAAATTCTCACAGGCGGCGGAGAACAGGTCCATGCTCCGTTGCATCTCCTCTTCCGAGGTGGTGTTCAGGGCGCAGCCGTCGGCGAAGAGAAGTTCGCGAACGGTGGCTGTGGATACCCGCGATTGGAAGTTCATCCGCAGTTCATTCAGAAGGTGACCGTCCGTCTTGTAGGCGATGCGGATCCCCCGGGTGTTCATCATGGTAGGCGTCCATCAGCATGGCAGAGAACATAAGGCTGGAGAGGGTGGACGCTAGCACACAACCCTGCTTCACTCCGTTGGTCACTGCGAATGCCTCGGAGACAGCTCCGTTGTCCGTGACTCGCGCCATCATACCGTCGTGCAGCTGACGCAACATCTGAATAAATCGCACCGGACAGCCGAATTTCTGCATTATCTTCCACCGTCCTTCACGGTTCACCGTGTCGAAGGCTTTCGTCAAGCCCACGAAGGTAGAGTACAGGTGGGTCCGCATCTCCTGGCACTTCTCCTGGAGTTGACGGGCGGCGATGATCATATCCGTGATCCCTCGATGGCGGCGAAAGCCGCACTGGCTTTCCGGTAGAAGGCCCTGTTCCAGATGATTATTCAGACGATTGAGGAGGATGCGAGCGAATATCTTCCCGGCGATGTTCAGCAAGGAGATGCCACGGGGATTATCGCAGACGTGGCGGTTCCCTTTTCGTTTGTAGAGATTCACGATGGTTGCGTATTTGAAATCTTGCGGCGCTTCACCTTGACGCCACATCTCCTGGAAGAGCGCAGTCAGGTGATCCATCAGTTGGGGACCTCCGTGCTTGTTGACCTCAGCAGGGATTGCGTCCGATCCGGGTGCTTTCCCACTGGAGAGTTGCTGCACGGCCAAGATGGTTTCCTGGGGAGAGGGCGGGAGGTCGAAGTCCACGTTGATTTCCACTTGCGGCAAACGGTCGATAGCGGCGTCGGAGATGGTGGAGGGTCGGTTGAGGACGCCTCGGAAATGCTCGGCCCATCGTTGTAGAATTTGTGTCTTCTCGGTCAGGAGGTTACTACCGTCAGCGCTGAGGATAGGAGCAGTGCCCTTCGTCGGCGGACCGTAGACAGCTTTGATCGTGGAGAAGAAGTTCTTCCAATCGTTGCGGCCCGCGTACCCTTGGATCTCCTCAGCTTTGCGAGCAGTCCAGGCGTCCTACATCTCGCGCAGTCGTTTCTATAGGTGGCGGCGACTGCGGTAGAAAGCATCTCTGTTGTCGTCAGTGGGGTGGTCTACGCAGGCTTTGTGTAGGCGGTTCTTCTCGACGAGCAGGTCGCTGATGACGGCGTCGTTGTCGTCGAACCAGTCCTGGTGTTGGCGGCGTGCGCGACCGAGGACGGCTAGCGCCGTCGACAGGACCGTGTCCCGCAGTTGACACCATCGGTTCTCCACTGAGGCGTTCTCGGCAGCGGCGGCGGCGTCGGCAGCGATTGGAAGGTTGTCTAGCCTTTGAGCTAGCTCATTGCCGAAATGAAGATGGTGAGCGGGCAAAGACAACAAGGCAGTATTCAGCTTATCTGGGGGTCGCTTACCTTGTGGTCTCCTGCGAGGCTGTAGGCGAATACGCATCTTCGAGATGATGAGGCGATGGTCGGTCCACCCGTCAGCATCCGCGATCGCCTTCGTCACCAGCACGTCCCGCTGATCTCGCCTCCGGACGAGGACATAGTCCAGCAGGTGCCACTGACGCGACCGAGGATGCCTCCAGGTGGCCTTCTCTCGCTCCGGCAGACAGAAGTACGTGTTCGCCAGGATGAGGCGGTGTTCTGCGCAGGTGCGGAGAAGGAGCAGGCCAGTGTCGTTTGACCCTCGGAGACCATGGGGACCTAGCACTCTTCTCCAGGTAGCATGGTCTGTGCCAACGCGGGCGTTTAAGTCCCCAAGGACAATTAACTTGTCCGCCTTCAACACAGTCGCCAGGAAGGCGTGCAGGTCCTCGTAGAATTTGTCTCCTACGGCGTCGGGGCTGGTCATGGAGGGAACGTAGGCGCTGATGATGGTGACGAATTTGCCTCCCCAGAGAGGCAGACGGAGGCTCATTAGGCGATCGTTGATGCCCTGCGGCAAACAGGACAGTCGTCCCACGGTGTCATTCCGGATGGCGAAGGCGACACCCACGTCTCGGTGCGCTGCCCTGGGGCGACCGCTCCAGAAGAAGGCGTAGCCGGCACTCACCTCCTCCAGTTGGCCTTGTTCGGAGAATCGGGTCTCGCTGAGTGAGGCGATGTCCACCTTGTAGCGCGCCAGTTCCCGAGCCACTAGCGCCGTCCTCCGTTCCGGTCGGTTGCTCCTCGGATTGTCTAAAAGGGAATGAACATTCCAGGCTGCCAGAGTGAGCGGACTCACCCTGCCAGTCTGGGGACAACGAGTGGGGCGACGGGAAGGATGTGGAGAAGAAGATGACGAAGGAGAAGAATAGGCAGAAGAATAGACAGAGGAAGAGTTTGGAGAGGTAGGATTAGGAGAATGAGTATGGTTGTTGTTATTGGTATTGTTGTTTTTTTCGATTTTGATTGTTTCGACCATGATTAGACGTCTGCCGCCCTGGCTAGCCTGAAGACGGTCTGGTATCCAGCATTTTTAGGCCACCTTTTCTAGGCCCTTCCCCTCATGGGGGCAGGCAGTGCCGCCCCTGAATCGGGCTGCCCATGTGCCTGGTTGGCGCGACCGAATCCCACTATGGGGCCACGACTTTTATGTTTGTAGTGGAGAACGACCGCATATGCCGTGAGTCCGCCGTCTCCATCGGCGAGGGTGGGCGCGTCTCAGCGAAGGCGATGCGCAGACCCGTCCCGGCAGCAGTTATCCAACGGCGTACCAGGCAGAGCCTCGGCTCGACGGTGCCGACGCACAGTTCCATCCGACCATCCATCCAACGGAGTCCGCAATACACTGTGCCCGCGGCACAACGTGCACCGTGCCCTCACCTGCTTTAGCCCGCCGGTCGGGGCGGTTGCCCGGGGTGTGGCCGCTGAGCAGA